CCCCCACTTCCCCTGTGAAGGATTTTTTGTTGAAGGGGCCGAGAAATGTCGATAGGTGTCAGCCCTGGAGGCTGCAGCTCCCATCCTGGGAGCTGGGAGGTCAAAACTGTGCAGACAGCAGAGGTGGACCGACGGTGGGCGTGAGGGCCGAGACCTCGGCTGTCCTCAGATCCGGACATGGAAGGTGCTGAGGAACTTGGGTGCCTGACGATCATGTCCTCGAAGTCGGACAGGCCCAGCTTGCCGTCGCCGTCCAGGTCGGCCTCCTCGATGACCTTGTCGCACACCAGCACCACCTCGTCCTCCTCCAGCTCCGACTTGGTCAGCCGGGCCAGCGTCATCTCCAGGTCCTCCTTGCAGATGAAGTTGTCCGTGTTGAAGTCTGGGGGGGAAGGAGGGACCCCGGTGCGGGGGGAGGGGGGTGCTCAGACGAGGGCCGGCCACACTGAGCACCTCCCCCGGCCTCTCCGCGAACAGGACGGGGACCCAGGGTCCCTGTCCCCAAGGGGGGTGTGGGAGCAAGGGGCTCGCCCACGGGCAGCTCTGTACCCCCCTGCGGCCTCCGTAGCCCCACAGACACCCACAGCGGCCGAGACACGTCAAACAGCCACATCTGAGCCCGGCCGGCGTGGCTCAGTGGTTGAGAGTGGACCTAGGAACCAGGAGGTCAGGGTTTGATTCCTGGTCAGGGCATGGACCTGGGGTGCGGGCTCGGTCCCCAGTGGGGGGTGTGCAGGAGGCAGCTGATCCGTGATTCTCTCTCATCACAGATGTTTTTCTCTCTCTCTCTCCCTCTCCCTTCCTCTCTGACATCAGTGAAAATAAAAGGTGGCCGGGGACAGGTCTGTGCGTGGGCCTCAGCTCCTCCCTGGGCCTCGGGGTACGCCCAACCCCCTGTCTGAGGACACACCTAGGCACGGGTCAGCACGACATGTCCTGAGCTGGGCGGTGCACAGCGCCCCCTGGTGGCCGACGGGGCCGGGATGGAGGGCTAGGTGGTGCATGGCTCCCCCTGGTGGCCGGTGGG